TTGTTGGTCATGGTTTGTGTTTTAGAGTTGTAGAGTTGTAAAGGATTGTAACCACAATTAGCAGCCTCCTCGACTGTGCTTTCTCGTCTTTGGGTAGGTAAATTAACACTAAAAAAAAAATGCTTGACACAAGTTAATAAATTCTCTTATTTTCTTTTTGCTGCGAAAACATCAGAATATTTTCCTGACTATTTATCTGCGTAGAATCAAGTGACAATAACTTTTAATCAAAAAGTTTAATTGTTTGTGAGAAATTTTCTTCAATTAAATCCTCTTTAATTAAATATTCTTGCGCATTTACAAATCACAAAACTTTTACAATTGTTAAGTTTAAGAGTTAAATAAAAATAATTTAACTTAATTAATTTAACTTTTATAGTTGACTCATCCAGTTGGTGATTTAAGGGGAAAAAAAGGCTTTTTCTTAAAAATATGTTTCTTGTCATACTACGCTATAAAGATATAATTTTCGACTAGAATGTAAATAGCGAGTTAACACATTTTTAAATATTATTAAAAGTAGTAAATTATCACTTTAAAAATGCCGTAAAATAATAATATTTCGCTTCTCTAAGTAAGTGCCTTTAGTTCGGTTAAAGTATGTTTTTTTTAATTTGCTCGTTTTAGTTAACAAAAAATGCCTTGACTGTTCAGTTTGTCTACTTAACGATCTACTTATTTAACGTGACTTAATACGTTAAATAAGTATCCGTAAGCTAACGCATGCGCAAAATATTATTTTGTCTAATTTAACGATCTACTTATTTAACGTGACACCGACAAAGACAGTTTCCTCGATTATTTGCGGACTTTAAGCAATTTTTTAAAATTTATTATATAGTTTATTCATGGAGGTTTAATAAACAAGTTTATTAAACCTCCTGTTTATCAAACCTCCTTGAGTTTATTAGGCGTCTGTACTTTATTGCTCTTTTATACAAAATTGTTTCAAGTATTATGGTAATGAAATAATTCCATTGAATTGTAATGCAATTCACTTTTTATTCTTGGACCACGGATATGCTTAATGCAGTAAATTTTGTGCTTCAACAAAAAATGAGTTTAAATGAAGCTGCAAGATATCCCAACATTAAAAAATCAACTTTGATATATCAGTTTAAAAAATCACGAAGTTGCGAATATTTATATTCACATACCAAACCAAAAAATATTTTTTCAACAGAAGAAGAATTAATTTTAATAAACTTCTTGGTGGATGCGGCAAATATACATTACGGACTTACATTAAAGCAGATAAAGTCCTTTGCATGTGAGTATGGTTTAGCAAATCATCAAAAAATTGAAACTTTATGGATGAAAAATAAATATTAAGGTCAACAAGAGCTCTGAGATTTTCGCAAAAGATATAACAATAAGCTATATCTACGTAAACCACAACCTACAAGTTTTGGTATTTCTTCTGCATTCAATAGAGAAACTGTAAGAATTTTATATACAAATTACAAAAATGTTTTAGAACGTTATCATTTTGAACCATCAAACATTTGGAACTGGGATGAAACAGGAAGCTAATAAGTCTGGATGGTCAAATGAAGGAGGAAATTGTTCCTTTGAGTTTATCATCAATATCATTTATTGTTTCACCTGAAGTAATATGACCTCACCCTAAAGATAAGTTAAGAAAAACTACTTTAAAAAGACATAAGGAAAAATCGCGTATTTTAACTGACACACCTAAAATTTAAGTTATTCTAAATTCAAAATCTAATAACCAACAATTTAAAAAGTCCTTTTCAAGCAAAAGAAAAAAAAATGGACAAAAATATATATTTTTTTTAGTCAGTATGACGCATGTTTATATGATGAAAGTTCTGATGATATTGATTTTGCTGTAAATATACTTGATAATGAAAGTAAAATTGTTTCTGGAAATTTTTTAATTGTTGAATAACTGGCCGGAATAAAATACTCAAGACTTTATGCAGCAGAAGTTATAAAAGTTGTTGGTATAGTTTACAAAATTAAGTATCTCAAGAAATCAGGAGACTATTATAAAAAAATATACAAGACAATGACAATGTCTATGATATGGAATTTGAGGACATTATTATGGAACTTCCACCACCAAGTATTGGTCGTGGTTCATCTAAACGTCATTATCTTATGTTTGATGTTAATCTGACTTCTTGTAATAATTAACATATTATACTCTTTTGTTATTGTATTTTTTATTTTCATCATAAAGTTATTTACTATAAAAAGCATTATGGTCATATGTAAATGAATATTGGCGACCAGCTAATATAAGTTATAAAAATATATTTTTGCTCTTTTCTTATCTAAAATAATAAAAATAACTTTATATACTACAACGCAAGTTATATATATTATAAAGCATGTTTTGTATAATTAAATCGCATTTAAAGTTTTAAACCTTAACCCTAATTATTCCATTATTATTAATTATTCCATGTAAGTAGCATCTAAAGAAAACTTGTGAATATGTTTTGTCTGTAAATAGTTATAATAACTGATTTCATTAAAAAAAAAACATAGTAATATAATTAGTAATACTTACCGACTATCGTAACTTCGATATTTTTTAAACAATTAAATTGTTTAAATTTTTTTTAAACAATTAGGATTGATTAAGTTGAAAAATAATATATAACAAGCTAAAATATTAAAAAGGTCCAAACATTACATGGTTTTTTAATAATGACATTTTGGTCAAATGAACAACGCGTATCGGTCAAAGGTACAACGTAAGTGTTGTACTTTTGACCAATTAACTTTTTTTAAAAAAAACGTGGGAAAAAGATACTTCTTGGTTGAATGAAAAAAAAGTCCTAAGTATAATTTTTGGGCAAAATATGAGAGAATATTACATATTTTGAATGTCTTAAATTTACTCCATAAACTACTCAAAAAACGCCTTGAAGCAAAAAATGGTCAAACGTTCAAGACGTTCCCCTATTTATCTATCTATCTATCTATCTATCTATCTATCTATCTATATATATATATATATATATATATATATATATATATATATATATATATATATATATATATATATATATATATATATATATATATATATGTATATATATATAAATTTCTTATTTGGGCTTTTATTTTTCATAGCTATGGTTAAATAACTTTTAAGTTATTTGATTATTTTGTAATAAAAAATAAATTGTAGATAGACAGGGTTAACCTTACCCTAACCCTGTATATATAAAAAAATTCTAAGATGTATTTATTAATGATAAAATATGCTAATTTGTTACATTTTAGACTAAATAATTATATAATATATAAAAATGGTTTTAAATGCCATTAGTAAAGGAAGAATTATTAAGATCTCATCCTTTGGTATGACTCATAGAGATATTGCAAGCAAGGTTGGATGCGGAAAAAGTACTGTTACTGATTTTCTAAAGAAGTATAAGGAGACAGGAGAAACAGTCCGTCAATCTGGATCAGGAAGAAAGAGAAAAACTACTAAAAGAGAGACACATTGTCCAAGCTGCCCTTAAAAATCGCCGTATTTCTACAAATGGGATAAAAGCAGAAACTAGTATTACCAATATTTCTGGAAAAACCATAATTCATCGTTTTTTGATAGCTCATTGGGCTATCAAAAATCCTCTTTTATCAAAGATCAACATTGCGCGTAGGCTTCAATGGTGCAGTGAGCATGAAGACTGGACTATTACCCAATGAAAACAAGTTGTTTGGTCAGATAAGTCTCCTTTTAGCTTTAGATGCAATCGAAGATTTTGTGTTTGGAGGCGTAGTAATGAAAAGTATCATCATGAATGTATAAAAGCCACAGTTAAGCATCAAAAAAAGATTAACGTATGGAGATGCTTTGCCGCGCATGCTACAGGAAGGATTCACAAGATTAAAAGCAATATGGATCATTACCAGTACCATAGTATTCTTGTTCATAATGCAAAACTAAGTTGGTTGATATTATTTCCTGATGGTAACTATGGTAACTATCTATTTCAACAAGATAATGATCCTAAGCACACAGCAAAATATAACATGTTGAAAAAAATATGCTAGCTCTGAAATGGCGGCCTAGCCAATCTCCCGATCTAAATCCAATTGAAAACCTATGGTCAATACTCAAAGATAAAACTAAAAGAAGAATGTGTAATGATGAAGTTTGTCATTTCAATTGCGTAAAAGAGGCATGGAATAGCTTAGAACCATTGTTATTAACAAAGCTTGTTGACAGTATGCCTAAAAGAATCAAAGCAGTCTTAGCTGCAAAAGTGCTATAACCAAGTACTAGATTTTGAGATTTCGTTTCAAATAAAATGACTCTTTCAAGATTATAATAGAAACAATAATTCTGCCAACAATTATTTTGTACTATGTATATTTGGTAATTCTTTTGTATTTATGAAATCATTATTACATTATATTAATGCTTTAATGTTAATTTTCTTAAAAAAAACATTTTGGTGTTGTTTTTTTTATCTTTTTAAATATATATATATACATTTTATATATACGTGTTAAAAGCATGATATTTATATATTGATACTTGAAATAAAATCGCTCATTAATGTTTTCTTTATTTTTTACATAGAAATTTTGTGAAAAAACCACATAAAATTTCTTGGCCGGTTTTTTTTGGCCTATACTGTATACATATATATATATATATATATATATATATATATATATATATATATATATATATATATATATATATATATATATATATATATATATATATATATATATATATATATATATATATATATATATATATATATATATATATATATATATATATATATATACATATATATTATATATATATATAAATATATATATATATATATATATATATATATATATAAATATATATATATATATATATATATATATATATATAAATTTATATATATATATATATATATATATATATATATATATATATATATATATATATATATAGTGGCGGATTAAGACTTCTTAAGACCCAGGGCTATTTTTGTTTTTGGAGGCGTTTTTATGGGCCAGAACCTAAAAATGACTAAAAAAAAATCCTCTAAAATGTTTGGGGGCCCCTAAATTTGCGGGGCCCAGGGCTGTAATCCCTAGCCTCCCCTCCTTTATCCGGCACTGTATAATATAATAAATTAGACAGAAATTAAATTGTTTTTATTATATACGTATACACTCGTCATCAAAATAAAAAAATTATGTTGTAGTTAATAAAGTAAATTGATCGTCTTTTTTTGGACTCAGCCATAACTTTATTTGATTGCGAAAGTCCGGAAACTTTCCACTGTATATGAGAATATTTGTGACACTACCCGAAAGAACTAAAAGCCCTAACCAGTCGTTAGCTTCTAAAAGTCCTTTGTTGTACTTTTCAAGTTGTAAATTCGAAAAATAATAAGTATACAACATATTAACAATAAAATAAAACGCATTGTATGGAAATGTAGTTAAGAAGAAGATTATTACGGTAATCAAGAACACTTTTATGACAGCACGATCTGCTGAATCATGGCTGCCTCGTTTATCTAAACGAATTGAAGGCGAATGTTTTTTAGTTATTAAAGATTTAGAGTTAAAAAACGGGTTTCGCCTTTTAAACATGGTTTTCCACCACGAAACTGTTTTCATTCTACAATCTGAAAAACAAGAATTAGTTCTTCGTTTAATGAAATTCTCAGTATTACTAAAGGAAATCTCTTTTTCTGGCTTTATTCGTTCTTTATTAATTGTTTCTGAACCCTTAGTCGTCAGAATAAGTGAAGTTTTAGTAACCTTTACGTTTCGATTGTTAATTTTTATATCAAGAAAATATTTAGATCTCATGCGCAAAGCTAGCATTACGCGTACCAGGTAATATGAAAGCAAAACCATTGGTATCAAACTGTCGGCTAGTAATGCAACTAAAGAGTTTGCAATATTTTCAGTTATGCTTTCGTATGATGGATAACATTCTCCTGCTTCTACAGTTAAACGTAAAAACGTATTGATTTTGATCCCAATGCATACAATCCAAATTATTAAAACTACATAATGAATATTGGTGCGTGACAGCCTTTTAGAAAACGGGTGACAAATTGCTCGATATCGTTCAAAACCCATCAAACATAGAATCCATGAACTTACGTTGACAGTCAGTGGACCAATGCAACTAAGCACCTTGCATGCTAATAAACCTAATTTCCATTCATGGTTATTACGTAGCAAATAAAGAAACTGGAAAGGAGTAATCACAGAATAAATTCCGTCAGAAATTGCAAGATGAACAACCAACCAGCGAAATTCAGAAGCTCTTTTCATTTTCAGGCTAAAAAAATATATTACGAACGCGTTACCTATAAACCCAAAAACCAGCGTGAACGTGTAGAAAATGGCTTTTAATATTACGTTCCAAATCATTCTCTTCGTAACTTCTGCTGAAATAAAAAAATCCTTAATTAGTAAAAGTTTATGTGCAAATTAATGATACTAATTTACAAATATTTAATTTGAATGCTTCTAAAATTTAAACAGTAATAGTGATAAAAACAACAAGAAATTACAACGAACTTAAGAAGGTAGTTTTATTTATTTTACAGAAATGAGTAAATGAGAAATGCGGAACGCCGTTTATAGTTTATAGTTATAAACAAAGATAATCTCCATAAACCTTTTAGAAAACATAATTAATTAAAGAAATATATTCTTTATAGTTCCGTAAGTACGACCTCATCAATTGATTGCCGCCTCAAGCATAGACGCAATCACTATAACTTGCGTCCATAGACCTAGAACACATGTTATTGAACTTGTCCAGTCGTAATTCTTTTCTATGACAAGTTATTTTACGTAGAATCTTCTAGAAATTCGTGTCTAAAATTTTGTTTCATGTTTAACAAAAATTTTGAAAATCTTGAGCGATAACGTAAGATTAAATGTTCAAAAACAAAACGACAACAAAAATAAGATAAAAAAAATGTTTATGAGCCAAAATTTTTGAATGAGTCTTTTGTTTTAAAATTACGTTTGATATTAATTACTTTGATTTTTTTAATTTCCTTAAATGCATATTTATTTTGAGATTTCATTATTTGCATTCTAGACTTAATAATTAAACAATGTTATAAAATAATTTTATAACAAAATATTTTAAAGATTTATTAGCAAAAGCGTTCAACCTGATAGTGCTGTTAGTTGATTTTGCTGCTTCGCACTTTTTTTTTTTTTTTCACTTTTATTAAAACACAATTTGCATTGCTTTATCTGTTTCGTTCTGACAATTTGATGTATTGGTCTTATATGTTTTCACTAAATTAAAAATAACATAAAATTATCGAAAATTCATAATTTGCGACATTCTTTTGGCAACAATAAAGTTTTATTTTTAGAATCAATAAATAACAATTTAAAAATATTTCTAATAATTTTTTTTAATGTTCAAAAATGTAAAAAACTTATATTTCAAAAATCTAAAAAGACTTATTTTGTTTAAATAGAAGTCTAAATAAGTTTTGAGTGAGCTCAAAACTGCTGATTATAACCAACAGGTTATCTCAAGACGAATCAAACAATTGTTTGAGGTGTAGCGAAAAATAAAACAATTAATAATACTTTGTCTGGACTAAAAATAGAAAATGACATTGTAAAAAAATATTACAAAAACATAAAAATATCGTGAGACAATCCAAGAAAGTTTTGATTTAATATTCCGTTTATCGTGTTTTAGGTGTGTATTTATTTTAGGTTTTATCGTGTTTTATATGCGTGTGTATTTATTTTACGTTATTAGTATTACGTGCGTATTTATTTTAGATAATAAAAAGCTTTAACATTATGAACTAATTTTTTTGTTAATTTAATTATTTTTTTAGAATTTTAATTTTTTTAAACCTTTGTTGGTATTCAGCCCAGCGGGCACAGACGTCCGTAAGATGTTTTTACAACGCCCTATGACATCACAAGTCCGTGCAACGTCTTTAAAACGTCCGACAAACGTTCTGTGCCGCTGGGAATTAATTTAAAGGGTATTGTTGTTACTTAATATATATGTCAAGAAATGCTGGTTGAATTTATAATCGTTAATTTTAAACTAAAAAATTATATAACTTAAAACAGTAAACAAAACTCGTAAAGTGGGTTTTTCTCCTAAATTTGAATATTGATATTACTAAAGGCTTTTATGAGTTGCACTTTTTTTTTTCTTCAAATATTTCAGTTAAACCGTTACGAATTTATGAATTCAGGGCAACTTGGCTGAGTTTTTTTTTATCATGGAAGTAAAAAACGCATTAAAGTATATCAAGCAATAAACTTTAGAAGACTTTTTTGTTGCTAAGCGACGGATAAGTAACAAATTTAAACAATTAATAAAAATGCTTTTTATAAAAACATCAGAAAATTTTTATTTTTTGAGAATAGTTAAAAGCATTTTTCAAGAAAATTTTTATTAATGCAAAAAAAAAAGCATTTATAAATTTTTTAACAAAGGTATACATTAGTTTAAGCTGCTTTCCTTGATATCAAAACAACTTTCGATATGCTAAAATCTTTTAACTTTTGATAAATTACAAAAAAGGTTTCTTAAATAAAACTTTTTTTTAATTATGCATCAATTATGCTTGTTATACTCCATAACTAGAAGTTTCAGAAAAAAGTTGTTTTTTACTGCTTTGGTGTTAATACATAAATGTTGTATCGCTTAAATCTTAATATATTGTATAGCAATCTTAATATAATGTATAGCAAACTTAACATATTGAAGAGTGAACCGGCAACGAATACACAGTTAATTCTGTGTAATTTCAAACACAGAGTTAACTGTATTTGAAAAAAAATTAAAAACTTGTTTAAATTTAACTAGTAAATGTATTTTACTCATCTTAGTTTGAATAGCTTTTCTTTCGTTACCTGGAACTTTTATTCATATATATATATATATATATATATATATATATATATATATATATATATATATATATATATATATATATATATATATACAGATATATATATATATATATATATATATATATATATATATATATATATATATATATATTAATACAGATATATATATATATATATATATATATATATATATATATATATATATATACAGATATATATATATATATATATATATATATATATATATATATATATATATATATATATATATATATATATATATATATATATATATATATATATATATATATATATATATATATATATATATTCTTCTGATTCAAAGCGTCTCTGATTTTACAGAAACTTGCTTAAGCACATGTATGCATAAAGTGAATTGCCATGCACGTTTAAATGCTTCAACAAAGCATGTTACGTGACAAAACAAAGCAGTAAAGACATATGGGATTTATTTATTATCTGTAAGATTAATAATAATAACAGTTATGACTATGTTTTATTATTAATTAAACAATAGTTATTGTATGATGTCTTGTCTAGATCAAAATATCATGGTTTTATTTTGATTTTATTCTTGAATATAAACTATATTCCAATATAAAAATCTATCAAAAACCATTCAGAATAAAGCAACATCAGCTATTAATGGTCAACAAATACATGTCTTTAGCAATGCTCTCGAACATGAGAAACAATATTAGTTTCAATATTTTAATTGATACTACTATTTATAGAGCTTACAAAAATAGTTCAATTAAAGAGACATTAGTTTCACAAAATCAAAAAGTTTTTTAAGCCGTATCTTAGTTGTTACAAAGTTCTGACATATTCTTACATAAACAAAAAATTATTCAATCTTGATGTTTTTGAAAAATTTAGTTTTAGATTTCCAGTTTATTTGTTTTGAATTCAAATTTTCAATATGCAGAGTGAACAACACATAAAAGAAGTTTATTACCTATTATGGCAATCTCATGTTATTGTTAGTAGCAAAACCTCCTGAATTTTTTTTTTCGACTTCTAACAGTGAGTATCAGCGCTTTTATTTCATAGAAATCACCTATGAAATAAAAGCGCTCCAAAGTTGATGGATATCCTAAGTCTAGTGCTTTAAAAAGCAAAGAACTGAATAGAATTTGGACAATTTTTGCATTCAGACATTTTATGACTTACGACTAATACTTGTATATTTAGTATTTTTACATCAAGGACATTTTAAACGATGTGAGTAAGTAATAATGTTAAAATAATTGTTCCAAATTAATTTAATATGAAATAGAGTTTTTTAATTATTAGTATGAGCCAATGACTTTTTTATCATTAACATTTAAGTTATTTCGCCAGATTAAGTTGTGCTTCGGGAACCTTGCCGATACCTTTACTATAGCCCTTAATTTAACTGTGAAGATATAAACAACTTATAGATTTATAAATTTACAAACTAAATCTTCACAGTTAAATGAATTATTTTTATTATTATAAATAAAGGACTTATTTTTATTTAAAAAAAACAGTAAATTTTCCTTAAATTAGTATTTACAAATAGCGTTTTGAATTTTAATATCACTTTAAAAATAACACAAGGTTATTAAAAGGTTTAAAAATAACTTTAAAATAACACAAGGTCTATTATCAAAATCAATGTTTTCAGTTACTAGTTCAAATGTATAACTTATTTTGGTGCCAGTTTTAACGTTCAAAAGTAAGATCTTGAGCAAAATATATCTAATGAGATTTATTGACTTAGAATAGAAACATGTCAGAGCTGTTAACCAAACAGGTTAACTGCTAACCTGTTTGGTTAACCAAGTCCAACTAACACTTAATTATACTAGAAATAATTATCTAGAAATTTATATTTGCGCAACTTTTCTGATCTTATTTACTATGTAGACATGAATGTTGATGTAAACAAATAGTGCTTTTCAGGAAAAAATTGTAAAGTTTGCAATTAAACTCGTTCAAATAAGCAAGATTGAAAAACTTTTAAATTCTTTTAGATTCTTTTAAAGTTTTTGATCACAAAAAAGACTTTTGAAATAAAATTACATTTTGACTTGGGAATTAACTTAAAAAAACAAATAAAACAAGTTTCAAACGTTTTGCACTTGTAACAAAACAGCTTTTTTATTTAATGGAATACTTTTTGTATTTTTTGTATGTGAAGGTATTTTTTTTGTAATGTTGGAAAAATAGTTTGAACAATAAATCCATTGAATCTGTTTTAAATCCACGTTATAAAACAGTCCGTTTTGATTGCTGCCTCAAAAAACAATTGGAAAATTTACAAAATGTTTTGTAAAGTTGTGAGCACGGGTCTAAATATTTGAACACATAATAAATTTCAGAGCTAAAGTAAAGCATATCAACTATTTCTTTTGCTTTTGTTGTATACCTTTTATTGTATATATAAAAATCATGCTGCGTTAAAAAGTTTTTTAATGGAACCAACAGATAAATCAAAAACTTATCCAGTGAATGTTGATCAAGAAGGATTTGATGTACTGGAGTAATGGAGACATGAAGTACTGGAGTATTGGAGACACGATGGAGTACGATTTCTAGTTATACAATGTTTAACACAAAATTTTTTTCCATTTTGTTGAAATAATAAACTTAAAAACATTGTTCTGGGGAAATGGGAACTAGTCATCTAAAATAAGAACTGGTCCTTGTTTTCATAGAAAAACATTTGATTTTCTTATCTCAAATAAAATTGAAATAGTAAAAAAAATTTTGAAAAATTAAAAGCATAATAAATAAAAACAATAACTTACTTTAACAAATTGTAAAAAATAATTGATAAAAAACAAAATTTGAAACCACAAAGGCTTTGAAGTCTGATTTATTGCATGCTGTATGACATCGATCTTGTTTGAAAATTGAAAACGGAAAATGAAAATAGCGTCGCATTTTATTCACAATAAAAAAAAAAAATGTTTGTATTTATGTTAATTTAGTCTCATATATATATTAATGCGTCATTAATTTGTCATGCACCATCTCGTTGATCGTAATCTTATAATACTACAATAGATTATTAATTGGCGTAATGTCGCTAAAATAAATAGAAAATAAAGTCATGTTTGCGTCAAGTACGTCCTTTAGTTGTCGGCAGTCTTCTTAGACCAACACTTTGTTCTTGCAAAAAAAAAAATATCGGAATGTGAAACAAACTTAATATGCTGTAAACTTACTTGATTACTGAAATCTTGTAAATGAATATAAAATCCCTAATAATTTAATTAATATTATTTACAAGTGGAACTTTACCTCTATAAGAAAAAAGGTTTTAATTGACACATTATTAAGTCTTTAATGCTACTTTTTTTTGTGCAACAAAAAAAGTAGCATTAAAAGTTAAAAATATATGTAAAGTATTAAGTGTAAAAATATGTAAAGTATTAAGTTAACTTGAAGTTTTTTCTTATTTATAAAATTTATTTAAAATTTATTTTGGTTCTTTTTAAATGTACAAAAAAATGGCTTTTTTTGTAGATTTATATAAGAACCACTTTTCAATTTACTAATCAAAATAGGGAACTACTTAATAAACAATGGTTTAAATAAATTATGGTTTAGAAAATGAGGCTATAGAAGTTATTTACAATATTTTTCAAAATCAAAATAACTGAGGCATTTAATAATACCTACATGCCTCAGGAAATAATAGTTTGTAATTGGAGCCTCACTGATTCGTAAAGCTTACAGTTTTATGCAGCATTTTGAAAGCATTTTGAAAAAAAATTTTAAGTATTAAATAATGCTTAAATTTATTAACTTATATTTATTATATAATATGTTCTAAACAAAAGCTACAAACTTAAATTTATTAGAGAATTTCAAAATTGTGTTTATTTTAATATTTTAAAATTACAAGCCAAAAAAATCAAAATTTCAAAACCCGTTTAATAAAAAGAGATGTTGAAACAAAAAGCAAAATTTACTTCTTTACAAAAATTCTCTATATTTAGAACTTTCTATTCTATATTTAGAACTTTCTATTAAAAAGAAAAATCTTTGAGAAAAAAAGTGAGGGGGCCAGTCCTCTTGGCCTACCCGGTGTCGTCATGTCGTATCGTGTGATTTTTGAAAAGGCTTGATATTATTTTAGAATTTAATACTTTTATTTTTGGACAACTAGTATATTGTACAACTAATATTTTTACTAAAAATAATAGTTATAATAATCAATATGATAAATAATATAATAATAAATGTAATAAACAATTAACACTAAGGATTGCAGATTGTATAACTAAAATACCGACTCAAATGTTCTAATTTAAATTAACAAACTAAAAAAAAAAATATTATTTTATCTACAAATAATTTTTATTTCAAAAATAACCAATATCATGAAAAGTACTTTTAGTTACTTTTAACGTACTTAGTTACGTAATGAACGTTTTTATTCTCATTCTTTAGGATTGCTTAAGGTAATTAATTTTTACTTGTGCAAAGTTCACTTCTCATTCAATTAAAGCAAAAACTTATTCATTTGCCCAAAAAAGTAAAACTATTTGACAATACATTTTTCACAAAGTTATATGTGACAGGGCCGACGACATGGTTTTGAAAGTAAAGGAGCACAATCGTCAACTCTAAAAAAAAATCCTCTATATTTAGAACTTTCTATTTAAAAAAATGTCTTTTAGAAAAAAAGTGAGGGGACCAGTCCCCTTGGCCCACCCGGTGTCGTCGTGTCGTATCGTGTGAGTACTTGATTTTTTTTTTACTACTACCTGGTTACGATGAAACTTCTCTGATATATTTGAAATATTAATGGTTAATTTCAATTTGATTAACAAGCTCGTGATTCTCACTGATTCCAGAATAAATAGTATTTGTATTTTGTAAACATAATTTTCTGTTAGTAAAAAATTGGATCAATGCATGAAGAATTTTATTATAAGATCACCAACATTAGTAAAACAAGAAAATATTTTTATTATCATAAAACTTAAAATTAAAATCCTCACTAAGTATAAAGTCATTATTGTTTGTAAATATAGACTATGGATCTATTGATATTTTGGTCTGAAAGTATACATATTGGTCTTAAAAATAGACATATTGGTCTGAAAAAAAGTAACCATTTCACGGATTTAGAGGTTTAAAATTCGAAAAGACCATTTTGCATTCTTATTTTAGTTTTAAATAATTTATTTGTCATTAGTGTTTTGTTTGTTTTAAATAAATGTTTTAAATAATTTAGAGTCATTAGATAAAATATTTATATATACAAGGATGCCTCCACTTTGTAGCGTGATTACAAGGAGATAGAGAGCCAATGTTTAAGAACTGGTTTATTGGGAATGATTCGTCTTTAGTTTCATCAACAATAAGTACATCTACAGATTTATTTATAAACAAAGTAAAATCCGTAAACTTTTTACAGATAGAGTTTTTTTTTCGGAGCAAACAAATCGTAACGTTACGATAATCGTAATCGTATCGTTAACGTTAACGTTATCGGTTCTGCTTTTGCATAATCAAAACAACAGTTTGGTGTTGATAAAAAAATTTACGAAAAACATTAGGTTTATATTAAAGATGTGCCGGAACCAGTTTATACCGACTCCCCGATTCCGAATACCCGGTAGAAAATACCGAGTCCGAGTACCTGGCATCAGGTCCATATTAAAAAGTTGGAATAAAAGCTTGTGGAAACTCTGGCCCTGATTTGTTTTGACAAAATAGCGCTTTGTATATACTAGGTTAAAAAACACCCTTTGTATTTACTAGGTAAAAAAACAACTAAAAAAAAGATATTTGAAGTTTTTTATTTAGGAATTTTTTCCTCAAGAATTCGCCTTAAGATGTCTCTGTTCTCTGGAATTCCAGCATTCTACTGCTTGTTGTTCTTTAATTTTAATTTTGCATCAAGTTTTCAAAGTTTAACGTTTCACAATGGCATAGTTAATGTATATCAAAAACAAAAGAGTGTTGAACTAGAGGGTATTTTTGTTGAGAAAGAAAAATACCTGATGTTGATTTATTGTCCAGATAAAGGAACAAGTTGAACTCCCTTCAATTATACCCAGTTGTTTCATTAATAGATACTTACAATTAAAAAAATGATCTAGATCATTGTTTACACGCAACTCGCATACTTACATATATACTTGCATATTTACTTGCATACCGTAAGTAAAGTCACCACAATAGTTAATGTATATATGTAATGGAACTTGGTTAAGCAAACCGGATTTCAGACTGAATAAGAGTTTGTAGAACAGATTCATATCCTCAACATTTGAAAAACTAACTGATGCAAAGATGAAAAAAAAACAATATCCCACGTAAATTTTAGTTGTTTAAGTTTATTCTGAAAGTTTTTCTATTATCAGAAAGGGTTATCATATTGTTTTGTATTTATGTTTTACCCGAAAGCAAAAACTCAGTTTTGTCAGCATTAAGTTTAATACAATTTGAATTACTTAAGTGTTAACAGTCTTTTTAAATGTATAATTTTTTTTTAATTGATTCCGAACTATTTGATAATCGATCTTTTATGTTTGATTTTTGACAACCATTGTCAACTGTAATTTGATTATATTTTTTTCTATTGATAATATCCGTTTGAAGAGAGTTAATAAAAGTGTGATTTTTATGTTTTTTAAAATTTTAGTAGTTGATAAGCAATGCGGTTTTGGTATTACACACTTGATTTGTCATACTTTTACATTTCTCTACTTTTCTTATTCTAAATTGAAAATGTATTTTTTCTATTGATCTCAAAACTTTGATTACTGTCTTTTTAGCATTAATTATGCTTATAATATTATAGTATAATTAATTATATATATGTAAACATTATATATATGTAAATTATATATATGTAAACAGTATAGTATTATACTGTTTCATATATAGTTGCCTTTAAAAACAACTTTCTGTAAGAATCAAGAAAGCATTTTTAGTGCGTTGATAGTAGAAGGTAAATTTTCAAATAAATTTCAAAAATCTATTAATTAGTTCTCTAGATATTAAACTTTAAAGTTTGATAAACTCATTAGGAATATTGATCAAATGATGTTGAAAGCATTTTTAACTTGAAATAGAACATAATATATTTTTTGTAATGGAAATTTTACCTGATTATTGTTTATTGGCTCGTTTAGAACTAAAAGTGCTAATATATTCTATAAAATATTATTTTGCTCTTTAGATATTGGACTTTGTTTTGTGCTCTTTAGATTTTTGACAAATGTTTTAGAATTATTGACCAAATGGTGTCAAACGCATTTATAAAACTTGAAATTAGAACAATGCCCATGATAATTACATTTCTTTTTTCATATATTACCTAGATGAGGCCTAAAAAATACATATAGTAGCGAGATTGCTTGTCTAAATATAATGCTTCAAAAGTAGGCAATACAAGTATTTTGACAATGTTTTTATTTAAACAGTATTAATACTGTTTAAATAAAAACAGCTCAATATAAAATTAAAAACAGCTCAATATAAGAAATTAAATTTCGATGTTACAATTAACAGTTCATAAAGAATGGAAATTTCCATTCTTTATGAACTGTTAATTGTAACATCGAAATTTAATTTCTTATATTGAGCTGTTTGACAAAGTAAAAATAAGGAAGCTGAACAAGATCTGTCATTGGCAGCAACTCCGTTCTCTGTCAATAATCCTGAACTAAGAGGCCTGGAATAAGTATGCAAAATTTACAGCCTCCCTGGTTGTCTTCATTGACAGATTACAGACATATAATGATTCTTACATGAGATATTATCTTCCCCAGCTTAGATTTGTAAAGATAAGTATTCAAATATAAATAAAAATGTACGTTTACCTTGAAATTTTATTTCGGCGGTTTGTAATAGTTTGAAATATGACATTGACTTGATTTTTTAAGAAAAAAATTGTATTTATAGTTCCACTGAAATAATCACTTTAGAAAAATGAAAATACTGTCATTCTCCAAATGGAATGTAACCTCTTTTTACTTGTTATATACAATTTATTTTTGTCCTACTTTTTAAAGAATTTCTTGTGCGCTTGTCGAAACAGCACCATCAGACATGCCAACCAACTAGTAATTTTAACCACGTATGAGAACAAATGTGATTTTATTTTTATTTTAAGAATTTATTTATTATAATACAGTAAATTACTTTATTGACAGATTTATAGATTTACATATTTATCAAAAGATTTATGTTCTGTTCAAACATATAAAAAGGTTTGAGATCAGTCACATAAAACAATAACTTTCGTAGTAATAAACATTTTTTTTTTTTTTCTTTAAATTTTTACAACTACATAATAATTACAAAATTTTTTTACACTGCGATAACATAAACAAAATAAACTTCCAATACAAAAAAATTAATATTTTACAAAATACCGTTAAGATAAACATAGGAAGCAATAATTAAACATGCTATGACTGGATAAGGGTTTCGACTGTTGTAAGGAACTCGTAGAAGACTGAGTTTAGTCTTATCATCGAGTACCTTGGGGTGTTGCTTAAAGTACACATATAAACATTATGATTCTCATAAAACAAATATTTTAAATGTCATTGAGATAGACTTTTCTTTTCTTTTTATTATACTATGTATGGTGTTAGTGTTGTGGTTTATCATAATAATATTATCTTCATTTTTTAATTAAAAAAAAAAAATCATTTTCATTTTTAATTGATTGCTGATTATTTGAATGTGAGCGTAAATATTAATTTATCATTTAAATGACATAATAATTTTAAAAGTTGACAACGAAATTGAAAACGATACGAAATTAGTTTCTTAAATTCCGCTGGGTAAAAAATTAATATGAAATGTCTAACTAAAATAATATCAAATGTCTAACGCGCTAAAGCAAATATATTTTTTTATTAATAAAAATTCAGTTATTAAATTTAAACCGCATAAACCGGAAATGAAAAGCATAATTAAGAACTAAAATGGAAATTTTTAAGATAATTTCATTAGTGTCCTTCATTTGAATCCCACTATAAATAAAAAAAAACGACATACTAAAATAACAACATTCAAAAAATACTTTTTACTAAAAAACTTTCTAGCCGAGTTAACTGTAGTTACTGTATGAAAAGTAATAAATTTTTTTTTTGAATAAAATAGTTTATAGATGAAAAACTATAGTTTATAGTTATTTATAATAGTATAAAAATTATGATTTGTTTATAGATATCAATATTTGTTGTCCAAATGAAATAAATGCGTATAAGTTTTGTTTCCTTTTATAATTTTAAAAACTAGGAACTATTAATGGCAATTTATCCGCTTCTCTCTTACAAGTTACCAGTTCTCAGCAAGCACAATTATAATAACTGTCACATCTTATTCTCTATTGTTTCACTTATTATTAGTTAATTTTATATTATACTACTAACTGTTGTTATATTTTTACAAATAGTCTGCCCTGTACCATTTTTTTAAAGCAGGTAACTAAATTATAGAAATTGAAAAGCAATTATTGAAAGCAAATAAAACCAAAAAAATAATTTATAAATTTTTAGAACAAAAGCATATTCAAAGTTAAAATTATTTTTAAAACAATCTTGATAAAATTATGATATCGTTATCTTCATCATCAGTATCAAACTCATCCGTCGTCTTCTGTCATCAGACTCATTTTGATTTAATGCACGTTTTCCTCGATCCAATCAATATGATGCAAACTTCAAACAGTCTAAAATATATCTTTGTGCATTGTGTCTTTTTATTTTAGAACATCGGCTAACTGTATCTAAATAAAAATCTTTAAAGTATGTACATTTGTACATTTTACAAGTATTAATATACTTAACATTGTTCACAAGCAAATGTAAACATTAGGTGATCAATAGTGGGAAAAAAACAACAACTCGTTACTGATCCGTGCCTAATTTACTTCATTATTGACCAAGATATTATATATACATATATGTATATAATTATATACATATATGTATATATAAATATAGTTAATTACAAATAACTTGACCCTCCAGGGGACCAAGGAAAACGGTTCGACTAAACGAATGTTTGACTTAAGCGATGTATAATTGCCCCTAAGGGACCAATAAAAGAAGTTAGCCGGTTGAGTTAACCTTAAGATACCAGGATGTATTTATAAATATATATATTTATATATACAAACATATATATATGCCGACCTCGTTTCTATATTTTATGGTAACCTCTTTGTGTCAAATTTTTTTTGCCGACCTTATGCCAACCTCTAACAGTTTGAGGTCAGCAATTTATTGCCGACCTCATTTTTTTTAATTCCGAGGGTTATATATATATATATATATATATATATATATATATATATATATTATATATATATATATATATATATATATATATATATATATATATATATATATATATATATATATATATATATATATATATATATATATATATATATATATATATATATATATATATATATATATATATATCCCTCGGAATTAAGAAAATGTTAGAGGTTGGCATAAAGTCAGCAAGACACAAAAATTTGACACGAAAATATATATATATATATATATATATATATATATATATATATATATATATATATATATATATATATATATATATATATATATATATCGGTGGGAGCAGGGCAAAAAAAATATAATATACATACCAATAACTCCTTGTAATTATCTAAAATCCAGTCTATTTTGTTTGTTTTGTTTTAGATCTGATCAAGTTAAACTTTTTATTTATTTATTTGCCATTAACCTGTGAAATAAATTTGATCAAAAAAAAAATAATAATACACTCAAATGATCAAATTTTCAGAGCAACCCATTGAGGTGCTGCAATGTGTCACTAGGCATTTTTTCAAAAATTTCTTCAAAATTTCTTGGTTCTAAGCCAAATAAACCAGCATATTCCATGCTCAGATAATCTCTGTTTTACACTACTAATTGTTTGAATCATGACAATGTTGTGAACATTGACGCAAAATTTATCTTTCACACTCAATAAACTATAATAAATCACAAAAAAAAAAAAAAAAAAAAAAAAAAAAAACCCTCAAATCACAAATAAACTATATTAATGAAATACTCAAATCACAAAATAACAAAAAATAATGAAATCATGGCAAAAAAAATGTAATGAACGAAATCTAAATTAAGATCTTAAAAACCAGATATGATTACAACTGAGAGGTTAGAGTTAGTAGACAAATCTAGACTAATTTATATAAATGTGATTTGACACTCAACCAATATATTGAAATATATCTATTTTATACATGTCACACATTTTTTTACTATACTCCCTATATGTCTAAAAAGTTTTTTTGATCAGTTGGAAAAATACAAATCAGTATCTGGAACACACATTTTTTTGCTATAGTCCCTATATAAGTCTAAAAAGTTTTTTTCAACAGTTGGAAAAACACAAATCAGTATCTGGAACAGCCACATCTTGTCTTCAATAATGTTTTCTCTGTCTGCAGGCAAATAAATAATAATAAAAATAAATAAAATGCAAATTGACTTAACAATAAAGTTGCAATATAGCTTTATCATAAAGCTGTGATTTTTGTCCAAACAATTTGATATCATCAATTATCAAAACTTGAGCAAATAACTGTTGCCTAAGTTTGTGCTAAACGGTAATAAACCATACCTTAACTGTTAAATGATAACCCTAAATGTTAATAAAGAAAATATACCTTGAATAATATCTACAAAACTTTCAAATTTTTAAAAAATCTTCGAGTTTTTATTGCATAATAAAGAATAAAATCAATTTTTATTGCATAATAAAGAATAAATATCTGTGCATTATGAAATTTGCAAACTACATGAAGTGAATTGCAGATCTTTTAGGCACTGCGTTTTAATGTTAAGTGATGCAATTGATCCCTTAATGAAACATTATCTTACTAAAGAAGATTTAAAAAGAATAGAACTAATTATTATGTAGTCTTGATTAGAAGAGGTACTTAAATGGTTTATTTAGAACCCAGCGGGCACGGAAACGTCCATATGACGTCGAAAGGACGTCTTTTTAGGACGTCCAGAACTGGTTCTAAATGGCAACGCCAGATGACGTCTTTTTAAGACGTAATTAGGACGTCTTTTTAGGACAGAATAAAGACGTATTTTGAGACGTCTAAAAGACGTGAAATTAGGACGTTCAGAACTAGTGCTAAATGGAAACGCCGAATGACGTCTTTAAATAACCTAATTTAGACGTTCTTATTTTGACGTCTAAAATACGTGTTCTAACATGGCTTTACTTAAACGTAAGGTTCAAATTTATATTTTTACAGAACTTCTTGAGAATAAGAAAAAAATAATAAATCATTTAAATTTTTTAATAGTATAATTATGCTGAGTTTTATAAATTACAACTTTGTAAACTTCTTCTTCCACTTGTTAATTTCCAAGAATCGAATTTTCGAACAGTTGACGTCATTCACCTTCTTTTCGATCAGATGCACTCTTCAAAATATTGCCACCAGCATTTTAAAGTTTTTTTTTTTTGCGGTAGGATTCAGGAAAGCAGTCTTAACCTTAAAAAAATATTGTTAAGATAAGTATGTAAAAAGAAAGGGGAAAGAAATAAATAACACAAAATGCTCTTTTTATAGTAAAATTATACTTACTTTGAAAGCATGCCCTTCTCAAATGCACTGCATGATGAGCCACCAACATTTAATAACTTCTATTTCTAAATTCAAAGATAACACTAGTGTAATTGATATGGGACAATTTAGTGTAAGTTATATTGGGCATAGGAGCAATTCATTAGTGTTTTATTCGATTCAAAAATTTTGTGTAAATTATGTTTACTTGTAAAGTGAGCATTATGTATATAATTACAGATCAAAATTTTTTATGTAATTTACCCTTATAAAAAAAACTAAACATTTAACCATAATAAAAAATATACTACTTTTTGCAACATTAGTATCGAGAAATGATTGATCACATTCAAGAAACTTGGCAATAGAATCACACTAGTAAAGATCAAAACTATTCTCAACTTTAAACGTTTTTTATATTTCATTATTCTTAATATAAGTAAGTAAATGAATTAAAGACTATATATTATAATTTATATATATATAAATTATAATAGAAAAAATATATATTACATCTTCGCTTCCAACAAGGCTGCGAACAACCACTATAAGAGTTTGGAAGTTATTGGAAGAGAAAAGATTAAGTTCGTAGAGCAAGATAACGATTGACAGATGACTTAAAAGATTGCAAATTATATGAATCAGGGAAGCAAGATGAAGGAAACAAATTCCAAAGAACTGATGTTCGAAGAAAAAAACTAGCTTTAGAGCAGTGCCAATTATAGTATTTGTAGAAAAGAGAAAAAGAAGCAACATCACGACGATGTGACAATGGTTGGAGAGTCCAACTATGTTTACAATGCGCTTTTGCACCTTGTCTAAAAGAGAAAGGGCATCAATAGAAGATCTGCCCCAGATATGGCAACAGTATTCCATACAGGGATGGATTTGAGATTTATAGAGATAGAGAATAGAATCTAGAGTAAGGAAGTGTCGAGCTCGATAAAGAGATGCAACCTTAGCAGATGCTAATTTTGCAATGG